AGGTGGTGTGAAAGGTGTCAGAGAGCAGGGGCCTGAGACTCCAGCTTCAGGCGGGAGATCAGGTTACTCCCCCCTGCAGGCTCCACCCACAGTCCCTGAAGCTTTTCTTCTCATCCCAGGCAGATCCAGTCTTCCAGACAGCTAGCCAGTTAGTTCAAGTGCTTTCCAACCTTTAATCATCCATGAATCCACCTTCAGAAATCTTGTCAAGGCCCAAACTAGTCTCTCATACTTTTGTTAAAACAGACTCACCTTTTCTCTAGCTAAATAGATGCGTTTTTTTAAAAGGAAACTGTCACAACTATAGATGGAAAAAAATCAAAGAAAACAAAAGGATGTCATTGAGCTCTGACTGGCTATAGCGTTCGCTCACGCTCAGAGCCTGCAGCCTGCTTTCTCCTTGGTAGAAGGGGAGATTAGCGAGAGGTAGATGATAGAAATGTACCAGCACCCCCATCCCCACCCCCTGAGTCACTTTATGATGGGATTGGAAGGGTTGACACTAAAATTGAGAAGGAAATGACTTTCTCACTTGTATTTGGATGTTACGTGACACCCTGGCCAGGAGCCACGCAAATCCGTTTGGGTGCCACCAGTGGTCCCCATCCCACACCGTGGGTAGCACAGGCCTGAGGACAGCTTCGGGGGTGTGCTTGGTCCCCAACAGCTGCAGCCTCACTTAGCCACGGTGCAGAGTTCTCTCCTACCCAGCTGCCCTTGGGAGTAATGCAGTACTTTCCTGGTGGCCATCTGGTCTACCACCAGTTCTTCTGAGAGAGAAGGAACATCTGAGGAGGAAGGGATGGTTGGGATTAGGGTTCTAACCTTTGACTTACCAGGTGAAAGATGGTTTTGCTTTTGTTTCATTCTGGCCCTGAAGGACAGGACTAGCCCCATCTCTCCCCTCCATTGCTTCCCAGTCCTCGGAGAACATTTTCTATCAGCTAATTCCTGGAAATCATCAACTCAGACGATTAGTCTCTGCCCTTTTGTTCTGTTTTCCGGAAGGTTTAGAATTCTTAAAGGCAGAGGAAGAACCTGAATTGAAATAATCACTAGATTAAAGATAGGACAACATAGATTAGACCCCAATGCCCTTCACATCTAAGGAGATGACACTGTTAATCAGTAAGACTCAGGATCCTTCTCTCTCGGCCCCTCCCCACTGACCACCCTTAGCCTACAAGACACCAGAGCTTGACACAGGCTCTCTGGTGGCCAGGAGGCAGCTGACATTGCCGAGGGCCTGCTCCTAACTGGGGAAGGCCTGAGTCCCGCGCCATGGACCCACTAAGAAAGCCCAAGTGGACCAGCAGCTGGACCTAGAGGGGTTCTCTCTGAATCCATGGCAAAGCCTCTACCTTTCCATGTGTGCTAAGCAGCTGTGTGCAGCTCTCCCAGAGGAGCTGGGGCCGATGGACCACATGCTGCTTTA